TAGTAGCGTCCTTGCTCCTAGTAGCGATGCCAGGAGCCCCTAGTAGCATCCTTGCTCCTAGTAGCGATGCCAGGAGCCCCTAGTAGCGTCCTTGCTCCTAGTAGCGATGCCAGGAGCCCCTAGTAGCGTCCTTGTTACTAGTAGTAAGGCACCTTGCTACTAGTAGCTTCTTGCTCCTAGAGGTTGGAACTGAAGACCTTTCCCGGAACCCTGGAACCCGATGAGACGAGTTTTCCCTGGCCTGGACGTTCCCCTGGCAATGGTCGACCTCCTGAAGGCCTCAAACGATCTCATCCATAAAATTCGCAACGCCCCTCCAAAATAGCTAGCAAAGTATTGGAAAACCCTCTTCCAGTGGTTGTTCTTATTTTTCGAGATTCCATATCAGTCCACCCACCGGGACCCACCAACCCACCAGCTAATGTCCTGAACAACTAACTGTGTAACAAACAAAGACGAATCCAAAAACAGTCTCAACATGATCCAAGGTCACCTTCGCTTCCAATCTGTGCACGAATGCCTCAGTGCGAAAGGGTTCACCGCGTTCAGTCTTGTTCCTCCGGTGTTTTCAGAGGTCTCTAGCGACTGCGGTGGGACATGAATATCATGCACCCAGACACTCGGTTTCTGGGTTCAGATGCCTTTTTCACTCAGTGATTGGTTTATGATAAGTTTAGTGTTGATCGTTAAATTCCCTTTGGGTTAAGGGGGCAAATGATCGAGGGAAGAATGATCTAGTCTACTATATAATCTACAGTAGGTGTTTTTGGACTGCTACTTGGTGGGGGGAACAAACCAATGACTAAGAGCCTTGTAATGCCTTGTGGCTTTTGGCTGGGACCTAACCTTCTTCAGCAAAAGCACCCCTCAGATACTAGTGCTCGCAACCCCTACACTGGATATACTGCTACACAGGCCTTGTCGTTGAATTTGTGTTCCAATATCCAAATCCATGTGTAAAAAAACGAAGAAGTAGAACATGATGCGTGTGTTTTTTTGAATCCAGATCCATGTCTCAAAAAAATAGAAAAAATAGACGTCGAAACGCCTTCCGACCTCTTCCCACCTTGCCACGCTGAGCCACCGTGGCGCCGCAAGAAGACCACGATGTCTTCGCTCCGCGAGCTCCGCGTCACGATCAGCACCTTCCGCGTCGCGATCGTGACCAAGGAAGTGTCATCTCGGCCACTGGGAGAACACCCAGAAGCGAAAAAGGGGTGCGTGATGGTCCGTGGGCCACCGAAAAGCGACCAAAAAGAAAGGTCACACGAGCCATCAGGAGCCATATTTTTGTTAAGTCGATGTGGAAAAGCACGAGGTTCAACTTCACCCCACACGACCTTCAAGTTCATGCGGCACACCGTGGCCAGATCTGTGTCCAAACGATGTGAGCCCTGCAAAGGAGAGCCACCGGCCTGGCAGATCAGGATGGTCAACCAGCGACTGTGTACAACAGATACGGTCAGCGTAGGCTTTCGAAACAGTCAGCCTGAAAGGGAGGACGATGGGAAAATGAAGGACCCCCTTCTACCACATCGTATTATCAGTATCTATGCCACTTTTTGCAGGGTGCGTGTTTGTGTGTGTGGTACATAAGCCCTACATGTTGGATCAACCCTTGACTTTCACCACCAAAATCATCCGACAAAGGCTTCGTGCCTTGGTCGTGCAAAGGGTTCGGTCGAAGTCCAAGAACAGCAGGTTCACAGGTCGCTGGTTGACCAGCTGCCAAACCTTAGGGTTTTCATACTGTTTGGAACAGGTGCCTACGATGCCACCTGGCAAATGCTGGCTAGTGAGTTGTCATTTGTCTTGCAGTGTTGTTTTGACTTTGGCCCTTAAAAGATCAAAGAGGGGGGCTCTAGTATTGATATAACCTTGTGGTGGATGGTAAGGCATCAGATACTGCGGCCGGATCATTACCTGTTGGTCTACCACTTACACCCCAACAACCAATTTAGGAACTGCCAGACCACCCTAAGTAGATGAAAATCGCTCTTCCCAACAACTGTATATACCTGCAGTTTCAGTTTCCTTCCCTGTTTCCACCCGCCAAAACCGCCTCCTCTTCTTTGGTCGAACCGTGTGGCGACCCCGGCCCCGTCGCGACGTGTGGCGTCTTCGCCATCACCACGAAGAAGCTGACACTGCTCACAGGACCACTGCTCGCACACCACGCAGCGATGCTCGTGTGGACAGAAGCTCCGCAGACACCGGTCGCCGCCATAGGGGCAACAGCCCTACAGAAGGGAGGGAAGTTGGTGCCAAAGCAATGGGATGACAATGGGAGATGGTCCGACATTTGTTTTTTGCACAAGACAAACAAACTAAACAGGCAAGCAAACAAACAAAAAACACCAGTTATACAAGATCCAAGCTGCTATATGGCAGTGGGCGCAGAAAATCATCCAACTTACTATGTCAATTGACTATGTCAAAAACATCCAACTGCTTGTCATCTCTCGCTTCCAATGCTCACAGGCGATCTACGTCTCTCTACGTCGTCCTTTTTGGCCCATGGGCTGGGATTACCCGAAGAAGCCCAAAGGCCATGAAAATACATATTGCCTGCGAACAAATTGATTGGGAAGGGAAACCAAAGATCAAATCGCTTCTCTCACAAAATAGGTCAATTGCTGTTGAGCACAGTACTCAAGTCACCATCCAGCATGGCAGATTCCATAACTGCCTCAAGGATTCTCAAGGATTCTCTCGTCCATCCACTGTGGGAATGTGTCTGGTTTCGTCTGGTTTCGTTCAGTATCTCCCCAAACCCACGTACAAAAGAATACTGTGTGCCGTGTGCCCATGCTCTCATGGATCTAGAAATCTCCCCTGTCCGCCGTGTGATCACTCCCCACCCACTGTGCCTGCGATCGAAGCTTCGCTTCGCACAAAAGGCAAAGAGATCGATGCAACCAAAGCCTGCTGAGTTCCACGGAGCACATGCGACAAGCGTCCACGTGTTTCCTGTGCCGCGCTCGCTCGCCGACGTGTTTCCACGCTCGCGTCGGTGAAGAGGGTCCGACCCTTTTTCTCGAGTGCTTCTGGAAGGTTGAGTCGTTTTCAGGCATCATCCATTCCGTTCCAGCAAGAAAAAAGGGGAGGGAGGGACGACTTTGTACAGTATCATCCCACATGGAAATTTCAGACCTGAGATTAAACTAGATTCTTCTGCCAAAGGCCGTGACTTCTTGTTGAGTCACCATCTTGCTACGGGGCGACCCCACCATCGACCCCACCTCCATGTCCCCCAGCAACCCCATGTATTGGAGACTTCAACATACCTTATGGCCTTATGGCGTTGGAAAGGTCGTTGAAGCTTCTTAGTAGCAAATAGCTACTAGTAGGTCTTTGAAGCTACTAGTAACAAGAAGCTTTTTAGTAGTCTAGGAGTTCATTCCAAGCTGCCTCCGATCACTCCCCACTTGACCGCCGGGCGTCTGGTTCCCTGGTCGAGCCGAGCGCGGCCACCCACTCGGCCCAGCTCCGGTGAGCGCGGTCAGCATCAAAGGCCGGAAGCGCTTGACCGCAGCGCGGTGGGGCGCCAGGAGGTCGCCGAATCCACGTCTGATCCGGATGGCGCGAAGGTTGTCACATCGAATTTTTATGAAGTTTTTGGGGTGCCCAGAATCAATGAGCAGTGGCCCACAGAGCCCACAGAGCTCACAGAGCCCACAGTTTTTGGATTTGAGAATGTCCACTGTCCACCCCTCTGAAACTGGCAGTTTTCAGACTGCAATTCATGTGGTCCAAAACTAGGCCCAAGACATCCCAAAACTATACATCCTGGCCAATCATCCTACATGAAGTGGCTCGCATACCGCATCAAAGGAGAAAACTGCTTACCCGGCGGTTCTTCAAGAGCTCCACGTGGGCATCCAATGTTTTTGTTTTGAGAAATTCAGGACGCTTGACGCTTGCCGACGCTTGCCGCCTCGCTTCTTCTATAATACGAGAGATGTCCGGGACGGCACAATTTGACATGGAACATCCCTTTGCGGCAGATCTCATGAGCGAAGTACTCCTGTTGATCCAGGAGCACTGCGAATGAGAGACCCATCTGATTGGGAGACCAAACCTTCTAATTTCCACGGAGGACATGACAGTCTTGCTCAAGTTGAGGGGCATACCTTTCGGAAGACTAACATGGACACTGAAAGCCGGTTTCTAGAGGAAAGCCATCTTCCAGGCCATTGTCAGGGTCCAAATGTTACTTCCCCAACAGGGTGTTTCATGGTGTTTCCAGTATGGATCCTTTGTGGCCCCAGTGAAATCCTCACTTCACTCGGAGACCGCTCGAGCCCTCTGTCTCCACCGGGTCACGGCACAAACGCCGCCGCCCCTTTGGCGCCGGAAACGAAGAGCCGTTCGCCGTCCGCCCTGGCGGAGACGAACGTCGGTCCGTCGGTCGGGCGTCTTTTCAGCCCCGGCCCAGATGCACCTGATGGATGACCTGATTGGGAAAGTGAAAAAGCCTCTCAAGATTTGAGGGCCAGACTTCAGAAAAAACTAAACAAAGAGTCTCTATTCTGGCAAATCTGGAAGTCCTCGGTTTAGGGTTTAGGGTGATACAAGAGACCCACAGGTCGCAGAGGAAGAGTTTTCCTACTTCACCAGGCCCATCAGGCCTCCCAAATGCAACGTTTTGAGCGGCACCTCATCTCTTGAATCGGCTCCAGCCACCGCAGCATCTCAGCGAGGACGGGACGTAGGCCCTGTAGGACCAGCATGTGCCTGCTGAGCGGTTCAGTGGATGGCACGGTCCAGGTAGGTTCATCTATTTTACATCAGTGAATGACCTCAAGCACTTCTTAACTTGAGTTGCAGAGGATGCCTCCAGCGGCCGTGCCTTTCCATCGCCCCATTCTCCGCACGTCGGCGGCCTCGTACAGTGCAAATGTAGCCCAGCCGAAATGGCGCTGCCATGCCAGGACTTCGACGCCCTTGGGAGCAAGAGAAGCCACCAAGGTCAGGAAGCAAAGGCACAGCACGTGCAGCACGGGCAGCACCTGTTGGGGAAAACAACCAAAACATATCCCAAGGGAGACCTTTTGGTTGAGGCATCGCAGTACATGGGTCTTTCGGTTCTTACAAGACCCGTTCCGGTCTTTTCCAGGGCATCACAATGAAGGAAAGGGTGCCCTACGGAAAGGAACCTTGTTCTCGTCCTTTTATATCAAACGGGTTCATCCAAGAGGTTTGTGGGTGGTTGGTTGATGAAGTTTCTCAACAAAACAGTGTGTTTCCAGCCTTTGTGACTTCAAGTCTGGGACGGTTTGACGGACTGTGCGGCCGGCCGGGTGGAGATGTTGGCACATCTAGAGTGAGAAGGGGCTCAAGGATCGTTTCGTCTGGACTCGGCAGCAGATCTTTGCTCAGCAGAAACCTCTTTCTTTCAGCTTACCAGTGGTAAGCTGGCCAGCTTTCTGGCCTTGCCTGTGGTGCACGTGCCTTTGCGTGATAACATTTATGAAGATCTGTAGCCCTTTCGGGCCTTGCGACTGGACACAGAACAGCTCCATGAGGAAGTTGCATCAAAAAAGTCTGATCTCCCTTTGTTTTGTGTTGTTGATGTGCTCGCAAGGAACATTGACTATTCTTTTCCGGAACCCGTGAAGCCTTTTTCGCAATATGTGTTGGACTCTTCGGTGGTTCTAGGAATGTCTGTCCACGAAAAGTTTGTAGGACATTATTGTTTTCGAAATTGCTGCAGACCCGGATCGAATTGTCCTCGACTTTGTTTGAAGAGCTTCTTCATGAAATATTGTTTCACTGCTGGTTGTGTGTTTTAAATGAATGAATATGTTGCAATATCTTGTAACTTGTAAATATTAATATCTTTGAAGGTTTCTTTGGAGACCGTGGCAATGGCGCTGCAGAATGCATCAGAGTGAAAGGAACTTGAGTGCATAGAGCAAAGCATAGTGTACCGGAAGGCCTGACAACATAACGGATGCACTTTCGTGAAGACGCTGTGATGGTGTTCAGGTACAACGAAAAAGGTTCGCGTTGGATGTACCTCAGAAACCTGAGAAACCCTAAAGGCGGCTGGGGAAGCTTCCTCGAAGAAGCGCCCGCACTAGTGATTTGGCTTCTAGCTGTTGAGGGAAACTCAAGATTAAAACTTGTAATTACATCATGGAAGTCTGGGCTTACTAAATGCCCATGACGTTGTGCTTCAGGGAGAAGTCATGAGACCACCTTTCTCTGCGTCTGCGTCACGTTGGGCCACCGTGCTCAACCGGTCTGTGACACCGTCGGAGAGGGGTCGTTTCTGTGCCAAGGTACAGCTCTTCAAGCTGCTCCCCCAACCGCTTGGCGCGTTCGGAGGCCGATCGGAGTGCCTCAACGACCACGCAAACAAAATGGGCAATCTCATAGAGTCCTAGAGAAAAGAGTTGCACTTTCTAAGGTATGTATATTATATACACACACCAACAACAACCGTACGGCAGTTTCCCCTGTCTTTAAAACACTTGATGTTAGGGCCATTTGACTCAGCTTTGATGGGTAGTGGAGGAAAGAAGAAAAGAAAAATGCACCTGGTGCGGTCCTGAGGCCATGGGCGATGCTTTTTTGGGTCCGCACCAGGTCCCAAAAGGTGGGGGTGCAAGAACCCGCAGAACGATGCGATTCCGGACCTTTGAAAGTGGCCTTCGCCCGAAGGCAGCCCCGGAAGGATTGACCTAGATCCGAAGGTACCTGGGAGGATCTTGATAGTCTCGTAAATGTTGGCTCATAGATGGGTTAGCTTCAGGGATGAAAGTCCCCGAGGAGGGTGTTTATATACAGTATCTCTTCTCAACAACTGCATCCATTGGAGACCGGGTCTCCATCTTGATATGAGTCAAAGCTGCGAAACCGGAACCCCAAATCTTCATTTCATACCTTATCTTGAAGACCAATCCCCAAGTCTACGGCCCTTTCGAATCCAAAAAGAAATGTGCGGCTATTCTTGAATTTGGGTGTCTGTGAAAGAAACACAGACTGAAAACCATTGGCCTTTTCTGTTTTATTCTTGTTTTGAAAAGCTCCACGTGCGTCCATGGCAAGTGGACATCAACCCCAAACTTCATCGCTGTCCACCTCCACGTAGCGTCCCAGCGCAGACCGCAGCGCCAGGGCCTTCGACGCACCCCGTGCCACCAAGACCAAGCGTAGGTAGTCGTCCGCCCGCGCAGGCAGCTCCAAACCAGCAGCCTCAAAAGAACTGACGTGACCTCTCTAAGGTCCCATATCAAGCTCACGATTTGAATGCCTATATAATCAAAGGAGAGAACCTTTGACACAATTAGCTGCTTGGGCCTTCCCTTCAGGGCTCGCCAATGAATCCTCAACTGCCATCAATGGGTGAATCTGTTGCGAATCTGTTGCGAGTCCAACCCTTTGTGCCGGTGAAGAAACCCCTCTTAGGAGATGTTCTGTGCGGCCCTCTTCAGAGGCCCCACCGGCCCTCTTTCCGCCGCGATGGAAACTACAGCATTCGGATGGTGAAACATGTAAAACTCTATCCTCACTGTAAGGAAAAAGCAGAATCTATCAGTGGTGTCTATTGAAACGCCACACAAAAATCATAGCAAAATCTTTCTCTACGGTCCACCCAAAGGGGTAAACAGGGTCGATTTCTTCTGATCAAAATCTGGTGCGACCACTAGCATGTTCTGATTCTTCATGGGGCCAAGCACCAGAAAAACACTGACTGGCACCCCAAAAGAGTTCGTCGAAATCCTGAAAACAAAGGGACCTTGCTAGGGGATCCGATTTTGGTGTTTGACTTGCATTTCACCTGGTCCTTGCAGGAAAGCAAAAAAGAACGGTACCCGATCTGTCGTCGTCTGGCCTTCACGGAAGAGAGAATCTCCTGGGGCGCTTCACTTCTGGACCCCAAAATCCACGTCACGGAAAGGTGCGTGGGTTCTTTTTTTTCGCACACGTTTCACGTCTTTCTTGTCGAATGAACTTCGGTCGACGAACCTGGCGATGTACACCACATTTAAACATCATCACATCGGTCTCTTCTCCAGTGATTCTGTTGGGAAGTGCATGTAAGCGCCAGGCTGCTGGTCATAATGTGTTGGTGCAAACCACAAAAATACATAATAAGTACATTACACCAGCATAGACCCAGATAGCTAGGCAGAATCCCACGACCTGTTGACATACGACTGGCTGGAACAAGAATGTATGCAGCCTGCACAGCCAGCTTACGGCACCTCCACAGCGCGCACAATCAGCTGACACCAGCACCGGTGCGCTTTGACAGCTCACAACACCGGCAGCGGCGCCAGCACCCGACCAGCGCCGCCGCCCGTCTTAAACACGCGCTCAGCCAGCTCACAGCACCAGCACCAAGGACCACAACACCAGCACCAGCACCGACATCCTTTCGAAAGCGCGCGCAACCAGCTCATTTTAATTTGCAGCCCATAGCTATCCCTCTTTGGGGAGTAACAACGTATGATCTTGCGCGTGTAAGTTTATGCGCACAAAAGTATGCGCGCAAACAGCAAAGCCCGCAAGTGTCATTGGCCCAAGGCCAAGCAGTATCCAGCGCCACTATTGACTTTGTAGCATGCTTGAAGCAACGATCTGCAGAATGATAAGGCCGTATGATCTTGCGCGTGTAAGTTTATGTGCACAAAAGTATGCGCGCAAACAGCAAAGCCCGTAAGTGTCATTGGCCCAAGGCCAAGCAGTATCCAGCGCCACTTATTGACTTCGTAGCATGCTTGAAGCAATGATCTGCAGAACGATAAGGCCGTATGATCTTGCGCACATAAGTTTACGCGCACAAAAGTATGCGCGCAAACGGCAAAGCCGGTAGGCTTCACTCGCCCAAGGCCAAGCAGTATCCAGCACGACTATTGTGTGTAGCATGCTGAAACATGCTGAAACAATGGTCGGTTGAGAGCCTGACGTTGCGCATAGAACATTATACATACAAAAGTATGCGCGCAAACAGTACAGCCCTTGACAAAGCTGTCGGCCAAAACAGAACCTGAAGAGTGTAAATACCCCACAGCGCTAATAGACAAAGAACGCTCAAGCGACAACACCGCATGATGTTGCGTGCATAAGTTCATGCGGCCCATGACTGCTGGCACTGCATTGTCAGAAGCGGCGCTTGGTCGCCCTTCACTGCTGCAAGCGGCGGCTTGTTACCCTTCACTGTCAGAAGCGGCGGTTGTTATCACTTCACTGTCAGAAGCGGGCACCCGTAGCGAAGCGAGCACCGGCACGCCAGCTCACGGCGCCCAGCACCAGCACCCAGCACCGGTATACCCAGCACCCACCCGGCACCGGCAACAGCAACCTGTCTCCACCACGTGCACAGCCAGTTCACAGCACCAGCACCAGCACCGGCGCCCGGCGCCCAGCACCAGCACCGGCATCCGGCACCAGCACCAGCAACCTGTCTCCACCACGTGCGCAGCCAGCTCACAGCACCAGCACCGGCGCCCGGCACCCAGCACCAGCACCAGCAACCTGTCTCCACCACGTGCACAGCCAGCTTACAGCACCAGCACCGGCACCTAGCACCCGGCACCAGCACCAGCACCAGCAACCTGTCTCCACCACGTGGACAGCCAGCTCACAGCACCAGCACCGGGACCCGGCACCCGGCACCCAGCACCAGCACCGGCACCAGCAACCTGTCTCCACCACGTGCACAGCCAGCTCACAGCACCAGCACCATGACCGGCACCCAGCACCAGCAACCTGGCTCGAAGCGCGCACGGGCAACTCATTGTTATTTGAAGTAAGAACCCCATAGCTTCGCTATCTGGGGAATTATATCTAACATGGCTTTTGCCAGACCTCTCAGCTCAAGGGTATGTTTGCAGCTTTCTCAGTTCATTCTCGGTTCCCGAGCATGGAGGAGTGACTTGCGTGAGGAAAACATGCCAAACTGCGGACTGAAGCTGTGGCACAATTGCCGGTTTTTCCACGAGGCTTATGCAGGGTCTCGGACCTCTTAGGTGTCTCATTTTGTCCAGGAGACATCAAATAAAACTCTTCCACATTCTTCCACGAGGCTGGGACATTGCTTGGGCAGTGGTCAGGACCTGGAATTGTGAGTGCAAATGTAACATTGATATCATTGATACTTGATCAATACTTGATTCATTGATAATATCATGAATCATTCTGAATCATGGTTAGAGACAGCTGCTCACCTTGAAGAAGCCGCATCACTTACGCGCGCAGCTTTCTTGGACTTCACTGGACCACTGGTAATGAAACGGCTTTTACAAGTTACAAAACACCATATTGCTACAAGAATGGCTCTTGGGGAGCCATCTCATATCTGTGCTAACAATCGGTCAGTGAAAACAACCAACCACCGACCACCAACCAATCAACCAACCAGCTAACCCACCACTCGCTTGCCTGCATCCCAACCTTCCGAGTGGCTCAAGATCCACCAGCTGACCCATGCGAACCGTCGCTCCGGCGCCGTCGTCGCTCCTGGAGGCCCTGAGAGGCCAAGGGAGACTCCACAAACTGCCGCTCCGAGCGCCAAGGAGTCTTCTGGAGCCGCGGCATGGCTGGAACCTCCTGCGAAAAAAAGAACGGCGCTCTGAGTCTGGCCATTCAAGCAGCTTGGGTCGGGAACTTGGGAGGAAATATACCGGTTTTCTAATGGGGTCTTTGGGCCTGTCATCATGGAGCTTCAAGCCTTTCTTCATCACGCGTTCAAAGGAACGTAGACATCAAAGCTGAGGTATTTCAGCGGTTTTCAGCCGACTTCTTCACATAATCGACTAACAGCCTCGCTCCTGGCTGCCATCATGAATGGCTTGGAAGTACGCATCCATCTCCTGAGGCTGCGACGGCCACGGCCAGGCGCGAGGCGCTGCAGACAGGCCATGGCCAAGCGATCCAAGTCCAAGCGATCGGCAAAACTGACAAGGTCACTTTGTTCGAGTTGTCACCCAGGTAACATTTAGTGGCGGGAGGTACAGTCCAGGTGAAAGTGTTTGTGTTGAGCTACTCCCTTGAAAGAAGGGATTGAACGAATCTCGCCCGTTCCGCGTAGCTTCGCGCTACCCGGTTAAAGACCCACTTCGCGCTACGAGGTCTCCACTGGTTGGTCCTGGTGATGTTCCAAGAAGTGCTCGGCCTCATCCAAGGGCTTCCAAAGCTCCAGGCTCTCCGGCAGCGCTTCGAACTTCCACGGCACCCCGGTCTTCACCTGAGGAGTGAACGGTCAGATCGGGCGGATTCGCCTGGGAGGGGGTGAATCAATGGATGAGGTTGTCCAGGTGGTCTGGTTTTTGGGATCGAGCTTGGGTGAGTCATGAGGGATGCTGATGCTAGAACCACTTTAGTTGAATCATCAAACCATTGCGGCACGGCTGTGTGAAAGAAATCATCGGGGCAGACTCAGTACACCGCGTATTGCAGGATTTGTGCCATCAACAGCTGTAAGGATGCACGTCTGGAATAGAACATGGGGAAAGTCAATTCCAACAGATCGGGAGGACGAACAAGTGTTCTGTACAAGCTTCAGCAGTAGTTCCCGTCATGTTCGTGGGGGTTAGTGAAAGAAGGAACAACGCTGGGACTCCGTTGAGCTAGCCTCCTCCTTCGGCAAACAGATCCCTGAATACCCCCATCCACCTCTCTTCAGCACTTCCCGCTCCACTTCCTCATGTTGGAATCACCCCAGTCCCACCCCAGGTCCCGCTCCACCTCTCGCGCTGGGACACATGGCGCGGCCAGGCGCAGATGGCCTTGGAGAAGTGCCGCGCATCGAAGATCACCGCCAGCGCCCCACGGCATCTGGATCCGCCCAACGACGAACGATGTCGCGGAAAGGAATGGGTCGCACGGGTGACTTGGTGGGGTGGACTGAGCCTACACGGGTCACTTGCAGCTCAGGTGTTTTCGGGTGAGCGAGCGTGCAGCTCGCTGGATCGAACGCAGGAGAGCAGTGATGTTCAGGGTGTGACTGCTGCTGTGCTGAAACAGAAAAGCAACGACAGCAAAGCTTGTCTTATGAGTTTTGGAATCTCGAGAAAAATAGCTGTAGCTCTTCTTCCAAGCTTGTGTAGCTCTTGCATAAGTGTCCCTCGGAAATCATTGACCTCCTGAGCCAAGTAGATTGGAGGACGAAAGCTGGAGAATGTGTTCAGTTCATGTTGAGTGTCCCAAACGTCGTGAAAACGACAAAAGTCAACGACCGTTCCGCAAGTCGCAACACTAGCAAAGGAGTATCGAGCCACTCATTGAAGGCGTTGGCGATGTTCACATAGCGCTCCTGCTCAGGGCTGTTGCTGCCCTTGACCAGCTCACAATAGAAGAAGCTCGCCAACTGACGGAGGTCCTGAGGGAGAAGATTGGAAGATCAAACACCTTGCACGACCCAGCTAAATTCTAAATGCCTCAAGCAAAATAGACAGTATGAATCAGCCACTATGAGATAAGTAGCTTCTAGGCTCATGTTGTTCCTAAAGATTACCTGTTCGTCTTTACCTCCACCGCAAAAATGAGCCAAAAACGAACCGTTCGAGGAGCGGAGCTCCGGCAGAGCTCTTCTGGTGCGGATTTTCGCCCGGCGCAGTCCTTCTCCAGAAGCGAGCCTGCTTGCCACATGTGCAGGCAAAGCTTTTTGTAGTTGATCAACTCCTTGAGCACCAGAGGGCAGCACTGGAAGAACTGCTTGAAAAAAATCGAACTGCCCGCGATTAAAAATACAACAAGGAAAATCTCTAGGGGGAAGCAAACTTCATAAGAACTAACCCAACGGACCTGACCAAGGCCCCTCCTTTTGGCTCATGCGACCAGTCAAAAAAGATGATCGAATTCCTTGCAACTTCTCGTTGCGTAACCAACCGCTTCCAACACTCTCCAAATAGGTTAGATAGGTAATTAGTTATCTCAGTGATCTCTCATGCCCTGGTGGTCGCACTCACCACTCACTGATCAAATGATGATAGCTCCTTGCCTGTCTGGGGCCATCCCGGGACCAAAAAAAGCTTGTTGCATGCAACTCAGCCCTTCCACCGCAGCTATCTCAAAATTGGCACAACAAGCACGGAATAAAAGAATAACATATATATATATACATAATTATACATATTGTGTATTATATAATATATGTACATATTATTATATACTTTTTTTTTTCTGCGTGTCTTTCTCTCCGAATGAGCGAGCTCAGCCATTTTGGCTGGTGAACATCGTGGGCAACGTGTGCTGGAAAGTATTGTGGCCGCATTGCTTCTTCAAAGCGCGGCTGGCGTCGAACTTGCCCTCTTTCGCCAAAGCCTGCGCTTTGCAGCACTGGCAAGTGACTCTGCCGCCCTTCCGCCACAGCTTGTGGCTTTTGTGGCCCTGCCAGGATCCATCGGGGACCCATTCTTGGTTCCAGCATTTGGACTTCGCTAGCCCTTCTATTTTCTCGGAAGCTGCATGCCGCAAAATGCGGCCGTTGCAGCCCGTGCAGACCAGGTAGTTGGTTTGCAGCACAAAACTATGGCCATGCAACTCTGGATATGTTCCATCAAGAAGGCTCTTGATGAGGTCGGCTTTGCTCCTCTCTGCTGGAGCTCGTCCTCCTTGGATGGACACCTGAGTTGTGGCTGGACATTCCTCCTCCTTGATGCTCTGCAAAGCGGTATAAGTGAGATGCATTGTGATGCGCTTGTTGCAGCCATGACATTGAAGACCTCTGGTCTTTGCCACACACTGGTGTGCATGCTCACCCTGTTGTTGACCTATGTCTTGGAACAACTGTGCTTTCTTTTCTTTGGCTTTCTGTCTATTGATGCGTCCACTTTCTCTCACCTGGTGCAGGAAATGATCCTTGGTCTCCAGGAGGTATCTGATGCGGGCAATAGCCAGCGGGGCAATCTTGTTGTAACGCTGGTCTGTCAGCCTCAGGTCTGCCTCCTCCTGCTCCGGTCTTTGGGACAAAGCTATTTCTCTGGCTACCTTCGAGGCGTCTTTGAACCTTGACTTCAGAGTATAGGGACCAGGTGGCATCTCATTGATTTGCTTGTGACTCAAACTCAAAGGCCTGATGCGGCTTTTCTGATCATGCGTCACCAATTGCGTGAGGTCCAAGAAAACATCGTTGTGGCGCCCATGCACCCAGGCCTCCCAGGCCTTCTTCGAAAGCACTTGTACTCGAACTTGCGAATCCAGCTGCACGTAATGGGCTATGAGCCTAAGCCCGTAGAACCAGGCTCGATCTGTCGACTGTTTTCCTGGCAGTACTGTGGTCACAGCTCCCTTCCGCATGAGTTCTCCATCAATCAAAGTGTGGTGCACCAAGGCCACAACGAAATGTTTGAGGCGCGGGTCAGCGCTTGTAGGTGCTATCCCAATTGTCACCACATCAATGCCACTCAAACGAACTTCATCATTTGCCGTCCAAGATCCCCAGCTCTGTACAGCCGCGCCGCCTGTAGAAAGCTCATAGCGAGGCAACTGCAGAAGTCCCTGGGACCAAAACTCCAAGTTGACTCCGTGCTCGATTTCGAGCCAGTCCTCTTGGTCCAGAGGCGGAAAATGTTTCCGCGTCTCGGAACATTGCCAGAGAACATGGATGGTGTCTGCGTCCTTTCCACAGTGTGGGCACAGGAGCCGGGAGTTTGTTTGGCCATCCTGAAACTTGGTGAAAATCGCCCCTTGATGCCATGTTTGTAGGGCCGTGTTCTGAGCTTTGGACAGACTGCGGGAAAGCCTCCGCCAAGGTAGCCAATCCAAAGGTTGTTGAACCTCTTGCAGGAACTGTCGCTTGTTGATCTTCATGACTGTTTCCCATCGATGAGCCCGCTCAAGTTCTTGGCGAAGGTAAAACCAGTCTGCATTCATGTTCAGCTTGAAATCTGGTTCACCATTGTGACCTGGCTTGACCCATTCATCTTGCTTGTCAAAGGTCCATCCATGTTCCAGCAGGTAGCATTGCAGTGCTCCAACTGGACCTTTGGCGTGCTGCCAAGGGTAAGGCACTGATTTGAGTTTGTCCCGCTGGACATTCCAGGCCTTGACCAGGTCTTTGGCCAGAGCCTCCGGCCAGTTGCCATGGAATTTTCTGTACAGCTTGACCTGATCTTCAAAGGCAGCGTAGTCGGGATCCCGATGTTTGGGGTACATGTCGTACAGGATGTCTAAATTTCCTGTCCGTTGGAGCCCCATCTGACGGCCCATCGTTGCTCTCAACCTTCTCCGGAGTTGTGGAGCAAGTCCCATTGCCTGGTGGCCCCAGCTAATGCCCGAGACAATGCTGCCCTTATAGACCTTCAATTGAATGGCTCTGTTGGGGATCTTCAGGGAATTCAGTTTGACATTCTTTCGTCCTGCTTTCTTTCTTCTTGCTTTCATCGTCTGGATCCGTCGAAGTCGGCCGGCTGTGCAGTCTATGCCTAAGTCCCGCATCACATCGTGTACCTTTGGGCCCCCTTCAGGGAGCTGTTCAGCAAGGATCTTCTTGACTGCCGCATTGGAGACAATGAATCCAGTTTTTTGTTCTGAGACTTTCAAATTGTCTTTTTCTAGTTCGGCTTTCACACAAGCATAGGCATTGATGGCAATCCGTGCTGCATTGTGAGGGTCTTTGTCAACAACATCGAAGCTGAAGTCGTCAATCCAGAGATCAGAGTGCAGGTGAGGGAAACGCTTGTGAAAAGCCTTGAGAGCTCGCTGCAAATACACCTTTGCGGCTAACGGGGCCTGTGGATCACCAGCAAGGATCCCATGAGTGGCCCACAGTGGGGCTGATGCTTCCCCTTCAGCTTCGAGAATCCGCTGCCCCATGTAGATCTGCATGGCCAAAGCAGCATGCGTTGCCGGATAGCTTGATTCCAGCCATCTCTGAGCCAGTTGCTCCAAACTGATCCTGTCATAGAAGTTGGAGAGGTCAAGGAGGACAGAGATTACCGTCCGCTTGTGTGCCGCATGATGCTCAGTCATGAACGACCTTTTCAGCGCAACCTGAAGACATTCTGTACCAGGAACTGCCCGCTCCCATGGGTACTCATTTTGGATGCTGCTAGACCATCTTTTGGTGAGGTCACTTCGAAGTCGGCACCATAGTCTGTACATGGTTGCGACCAATGCAATTGGCCTTTCAATGACCGTGCTCTTTGGGATCAAAGCTATCAGAGATGCCTTCCATTGATGCGGAATCATGGACTGCTCTTCAACTGTCTGGAACAAGGTTCTCAAATCTTTCATGGCCTCTCTGGGGAGTGACCTCAGGAAATCAAATCCAATCCCGTCCAAACCAGGTGCCTTGATGGCAAGCGATTTGATGGTCTTCCAGATTTGCCCGTCCGACAAGAAAGGCAGGTTCTTGGCCTCTTCTTGGCCCTTGCAAATGAGTTGTTCCATGCATGGAATGAGGATCTGCTGCTTCTGGACCTGCCAGATTTCACCCCATTGTTCAACTCTCTTTGGCATCCTCAATGCTCGCGGTTGATCTTGGAAAGGACGTAGATAAGGCATTTCATCCCTCTTCAACGTACGGTAAAGCCCACGACACCCAGCCTGAGATGCTGTGGTCAGCCATTGCCTGTACTCTTCAGTTTCTCGCTGGAAAGTCTCAGCTTGATGCAACTCTCTCTGCTGTTGGGCATAGTTGAGGAGGACATAAATGTGCTCATCCCCATGTTGATGCCACAGCATTTCAAAGAGACTCAGAAACCCCGTCATGGACACCGAGGCCTCAGAGTGCCAGTGATCTTTAATCTTCCATCCCAACTTTTGCAGCTGCGCCTGATGTCGGGGCTCTCTGCCTGCTTGGTGTAGCAACTGTTGTAGTCGTAGTTCAAGCTGGTTCCAGAAAGCCATGCTACCTCGCTTCCACAACCAAGGCTTGCTGACATCATGTAGCGGTCGATGCACAAACTGCAAAGTGGTTCCTCTGCCCCCTTGAGGCTCTTCCAGATTTTGCAGGACATATCTTTCAATGCGGTTGTACAAATTGCCTGCCTGATTTGTCAGCGGGTCGTTGATCTGATCCAGCCACTTGACTGTTGTTTCTTGAGAGTCGATTTGATGCCATTGGACCTCAGGATTTTGAAGGTGGGGAGCAGGTCCGAACTTGGTCAGCTGCTGAACAGCAATTTCCGCAAAATGCCCTGCCAATCGAAACTGCAGCATGGCGTGTGGTTTGAAAGGCACCAACCAATTGGATTCTACAGTCAAATCAGCCGCTAAAGGCGTCGAGACCAGGGCCCAATCCAGCTCATTGCCAGTGTTGCAAGTCTCCTCTCCAGTGGCCAGGATTTGCACTTGCATGTGTTGAGCAAGGGTTGTCGTCATGAAAACCTCAGGGGCGACGTTGAAATCACCAAAGATGATCACCTGCTTCTGGAGGCTTGTGACGAAAGCAACCAGGCCAGCCCACAGAGTTGCATTGGTCGAGCCTTGAATGCCCTCACCGCACTTGAAATAGGCCATGATCATCACAATTTCGCCCCCATCAAAATTCCAGCTGACCGCAAACCAACCACATCCTTCAACAAGTTGCTCATGAACATAGTGGAAGTGCAAATGCTGTGGGTATAGCATCATCATGCCACCATTTGTGCCACCTTTGGGACTTTCAGCTGCAGGTGCCCCCATGGCCCCATAACCTCTGGCCGTCATCCACTGTAGCATCTTTCTATGATCTTCTGGGCCTAGGTGTGTTTCGACCACAAAGATTGGTTGCCTCGGTCTGCTCACTAGCCATTGGCGAACCTGCTGGCCCATGTTTGTGATATTGGCAAAGTCAAATCGCAAGCCCTCAACGCATCGCTTCTTTGGTGCCGGCTCACTGCTTTTGGGTTCACGTGCAAACTCATCATGTGACAGCTGTGCAGGAAGCAAGCGGTCCGAAGGGACAGCCCATACCTGCACAATCTGTTGCTTCAGGGACTCCTGAATGCCCGGTAGTGCACGCGGAAACATGCCATCATCAACCAACCAACTCAGCCCTCGATACAAAAACACCGCATAAAAATGCCCATGTTGGTGTTCATTGCCAGAGTGGCACAAATAGCCTATCACCGAAAACTGCTGTGTCCGAGTCGAAATGCCATCAGTCGTGATGGGCAAGTTGAAAATCGATGGAACTTGCAAAGGTCTGTGATGTTTGGTCCATCCTTCTGCCTTTTTGGTATATCTACCAATTTGGCCAACCCAGAGACCGGAGCCGTCAAAAACTTGGCCCTCTTGTTGATTGGCCCATTCCGCAATCAGGTTTTCCAGCTCTTCAGGTCCTTCTGCAGGAGGGTAAATCAAATGCACCGGGAAAGCTTTCTTTTGGGATACCTGTTGATGAAAATCAACTTGATGGTAGCTCTGAATGACCATCGAAGACTCGGACAGAGCCACCAACTCTTGCAGGAAATGTGAAGCATCGTTTTGTTGTGCATCATCAAATTGCGTCCATAGTGGACGCAGCCCAGCTAGTGACGTCAGCTGCACCACATCATCACTTCTCAATGCAGTTGTCACCGCTGCAGCCGTTTTGCTCCAAAGACGTGGGCCCTCCATGAAACTTCCCGCCCAAGCCCAAAGACGGAAAGCTGAATTTGCAAAGCACCTGTTGCGTGGGTTGCCCAGGCGGCACTGCAGATTCTGAACCACATAGTCCAAAGGGCTCTGAGTCCCTTGAACATCATCCTGCCCTGCAGCTTCTCCTTCACTGCCGGACATGGAAACGTCATCTTCTCTAGCACCACCATAGAAGCCAGGAAAATCCCGGCTGCATTCCTGAGGTCTATCCTCAGGACCCCCCATCTCAGGCACGGAGTCTTCGCCCCTTTCCTGGCCTGAGCCAAAAACCTCACAACCATTCTCAAAAACTTCACAGCACCCCATGTGGAAGTCGGTCAAAAAGGTTGTGTCGAACCCCGAATGCTCCCTGTGAAAATCAGGGTTACCCACACTTTCTCCTTTTTGCAGCGCTCTCAATGAGCTTGGACGCTAAGTCCTTGACCTGGGCCGAAGTGGCCTGCAGTCCTACACTGGCCATTGCAGTGATCAGCGCCTCAGGAGATAGTTCGTCGGCCGTTTCATCAGCATCCGCTTGTTTGTCCTGTTCCAACTGCTGGTTGTATTGCTGGGTTGTAGTTTGCAGCTCCTTCTGCGCAACTTCAATCTTCCCTTGCAGTTCTTTGAGGTCATGCAGCAATTGAGTGTACTGCTGCTTCACTGCGTCCGCCTTAGCTTGGATGGCGGTCTTCTTTTCGGTGAGCTGCTTCAAAGTGCCCACTGCAAGCTTGACCTTCGAAGCCAATGTCGGCTCCTGTTTCTCGGGCTCCACAATCTTCACAACAGCCTCTTTGAGGTCAGATGGAAGGCTTTGGAGATGCTCTTTGATGAGAGATGGCAAATCCGTCGGAGCCGGAGGGTCAACCACCTGTACACCTAGAGCAGTACATTGATTCCGGAAAGCCTCTGGCAGGCTGTCCCAGTGCTCCTTCAGGACCTTGTGCATGTCATCTGTCTTCGTTTTCTTTGTCTTCCTTTTCCGTTGGCCGCCTGAAAGACCCGGTGGTGGTTCCAAGAGGGCAGCCTTATAGGATTTTTTGGGCCACTGTTGGCCTTGTCCATTGAAGTTCCATTGTGCCCAAGCAACTTGTCGTTTTTGCCTTAAGTCAGGCAAAATGTTCTTCTGCCATCGAGCTCCGCACTGATTGCATGTGAGCTGTGGGTTTGCCTGGATTCGGTCTTCCCAGACCCAGCTCTGGTGGCAGTGGCCACAGACCCTGTAGTGTCGCTGCATGGGATCACCGCTCCCTTCACGATCTGGCCTGTGTGCTCCTCAAGCTTGTGGCGATCGTGCCCCGGAGCTCAGCTCAGATGGTCGGTAACCTCTGAGCTTGATGCTGAAAACGGCCTTGAGCCATTATTATATACATATATATATATATATATGTATGTATATATATATATTTCTTGTTTGATCTATGTAAAATAGATCCTGGAAAACTCAGCTGGAACCCCTTTGCCACAAGCTTCGTGGTTGGAAAATGATCCTCCGGAGAAGAAATTCATCGTCTTGAGTGTTGTGCTGTTCTGGCATCACCTTCAGCTGGGTGCGTCTCAAAGTCCTTTAGTTAGCTCTCCCGTTCGCATCCGTTCCGCCGGAGGTCCCTCCGAACAACCAAGCAGGTCTGCACCAGTTCTCTGAAGCAATTCAAGAGAAAGTGGGCCAGGTCCGCAGAAAACGCGGCGAAGAGATCGCGCTCGATCCTGAGCACGTCACAAAAGATGGCTGTGACTGTGACGCGGTAGGAAAACTTAGGCAATGATTGTCTACACAAGTCGCGATTCCAAAGGAATCTCGTGCAATGCAAAGCGCCTCATTCTGTAGAAACAACTTTACGAAAGCAGGGCTGCCCAAAAAGATAACAAAAAAAATCTCCAAGTGTCAGACTCCAATCCCCTTGCCCATAGGACAAGATGTTCTCCTCGGTCAACTCCAAAACACACTTCCCTGGCACCAAACGCGCCAGCCGCTCCCGGAGCGCGCTCTCAGCGCTTTCATCCGCTCCCTCCCACCGCAGAAGCTCCTCGTGGAACTGCATGCCATGGCTGGCCCAGAGACCGAGGCTGGTCTAATCAAAGAGATTTCCAGTCAGGGTTGCTGACTTTCAGAGTCGCTCAAATGATCTCAAATGCTTCAATCAAAGGATTGGTAAAATCCAATCGGAGTACGTGATTTCTCGAAGGGAAAAATGACTCTCGAGCTCGCCGTGGACCTCCAACAACCAACGGAATCTCTGTGATCCTTCTCGCAGGAAATGGAGGGTCTGATGGTCGCACCTTTGAGGATCTGATCTGCGTGTGAGGAAACGGAATTGAACCTGTTTGGGGCACAGATGGGCATGCATGTTGAAGTTCTATGACATGAAGATGTTAAAGAGCGCAGCCAGTAAATGTATGACTAGTGCCTGTGTATAAATAGCGAAAACATATCGAAGTAATCACTCCAGTTTGAAGTGCTGGACAAGTCAGCGGTTAAACTTTCAGAGGGCAGATTTTGGAAGGCAAAGATGCTGGCCAAGTTATTGGTGAAGTGTTCGGACGAGGCTTTTTGGTTCGCAAAGATGCTGGTCAAGCCAGCGGTCAAGTGTTCAGAGGAAACTTTTTGGTTGGCAAAGATGCTGGTCAAGCCACACACCCCAAAACGCGACCGAAGCAGCCGCCATCTACCCATCTACAAAAATCCCTTAAAGCGACCAAAGCAAACGCTACCCATCTATAAAACCTTAAGCGACCGAAGCAAACGCCATCCACCCATCTACAAACAGCCCTTACGGCGACCGAAGCAGACACCATCTACCAATCTACAAAAACCCTTAAGGCGACCGAAGCAGACGCCATCTAGCCATCTACAAAAACCCCCTGAGGCGACCGAAGCAGACGCCATCTATCCATCTACAAAAGCCCTTTAAGGCGACCGAAGCAGACACCATCTACCAATCTACAAGGCGACCGAAGAAAACGCCATCTACCCATCTACAAAAAACCCTTAAGGCAACGGAAGCAGATGCCATCTACCCATCTACAAAAAAGGCGACTGAAGCAGACGCCATCTACCCGTCTACAAAAACCGCTTAAGGCGACCGAAGCAGACGCCATTTACCCAAATTCAAAAAAAACCATTAAGGCGACCGAAGCAGACGCCATCTACCCCTCTACAAACAAAACTTAAGGCGACCGAAGCAGACGCCATCTACCCTTCTACCAAAAACCCTTAATGCGACCGAAGCAAACGCCATCTACCCATCTACAAAAACCCCCCTGAGGCGACCGAAGCAGACACCATCTACCCATCTACAAAAAGGCGACCGAAGCAGACGCCATCTACCCATCTCCAAAAAAACCTTAAGGCAACGGAAGCAGATGCCATCTACCCATCTACAAAAAAA